TTTATTTTAGTTAATCTTAAAAAAGCTTTAAATAAGATTATAGTTAATAAAACTATTAATATTTATTTATTACTCAAAATTATTATACAATAGAAAATGTTTTATTATTAAACTAATTTAATTTATTATTTAATACTATTACTATATAATCAATGTAACAATGGGTATATGCTAAATGTTCAATTGTACTTTTTGCATTCTTTAATAAGTAGATATAAGTACTAATAAAAAATAAGTAAGATATTGGCCAATTATTACTTCTTTCAAATTATTTCTTTAATACGTATAAATTATCTAAAAATTTTATATATATAATAAAATATTATTATGACACTAAGAACGTAGTTCCAATATTAAAACTAATTGAAACGCGTTTTAGTTGATAAGAAATATTTCAGTATATTTGTACGGATTGAAAATGCTATGTTCGATATTTCAAATATTATCTGGATTGTACATGGAAAGTCATGGTGAAATCAAATACTGCTACGTATCGTTTCGTACATAGAATTGCCGTAAAACGCGTTTCTGTCGTTCGAACCACTTTCCCTATTCGCGCAGACAAGCTGATGGATACTCGGGGACGGTATTTACATGGATATTGAGTATCGCCGAAAGAATACGACGAGCGTCTCTCGAAGTAGAGGCTCCGATAAAATCCTAGCGTAAGGGAAACGCGGAAACGTGTTACGAATGATCAATAATCACGGAGCAACAGTGAATATATCTACTCTCACGTAGCTAAATGCGCAAGACGCAAGGAGCATCTCTTGATCCATATATTACGACATTTGTATCATGACATCGATTTCGATCTCCTTTGAAGCGCCATATAAGCTTGCCCGTATGTTAATATGCGCGATATATCTGTTTGTGTCCTCATTATACACGTAGAGTATATGCACATACATGCGCATGCATATACGTATATATAAAATGTAAACATACGTATAAATATATATTATGAATAAATATATACGTTTATTGCTTTTTATATTCATTCTTACTTATATATTTGTAATACATACTCATATACCTATACACGTCAAACAATAATGGTCGCACATGTAAAGTGGAATATCGGAGGTGGTCACATGGCGCTTCATATGGCGTTACATAATACGCATTACGGTCACGCATATTATTGCGCATATAACGTGCGCACATAATATGCGTATAAATCTCAAACAGTTATCGCGGCTTTCGTTTTTACCTAAATTCATTTGTCCGTCGAACGCATTTGTATAATTAGCGGAATTAACGATTCCGCGAAAGAATTACTACCTTCCCCCCCGAACTCCTGGTCGCACTCTTAATTTTGCGTCGATAACGGATTACTCCCTCACCCCGTTACGGCACATCTGCGCTGAACGCGCGGATCAGCGGTTCCAATCTATTTAAAAACCATCGGAACCGCATTTAGTTCCGCGGAAATACGGTCGTCTTAAATTGAAATTATTGTCGTCGGGGGTCGACTTCGTGAGAAGTTCCGCGTATAATTCGTTGCTCCGAGGCGGGACTTTATCGATGCGCATGAGATGTAACACCAATGATTTTTTTCCAATTTTTTTCTCGGGAATCTTCTTGATGCTTTCCATTGGCAGTGACTTGCCCGTTTCTCTCACGAGGCGCGAGATTTAGCAGAAACAGTGGTACGGATTTCTATTTCTGCATTCCGCGGGCGCACATTACGTGAGTCAATTATATTAATGCCGTTTACCACACCTGCAGGCTCTATATGATATTTTAATGATTAAGTGTCCGCGTAATGCACGAATGTGATTTAGGTGTTGCGCCCCAGCTGTAATAGCTGTTAAGGTAAGAATTTATCGTTGGATATTATCATAAAAATATATCAACTAAAGGGATGATCTTAAATCAAGGAGGTAGAAGTTGGTATTTAGGCAAGAAGTATCAAGATTAATCGCTCAATTATAACAATTTTGCAAGCCAAATGCATTTTAATTAGTAGTTTAAAGAAAGAGATATATATATAATTATACATAAATGTATATATAAATCTTCTCTAAATTATATATTTTTTATTTTGACATATCGATTAAAATTATATTTGTGCAGGCATTTATCTCTCCAACTAAAATATTTTTAATTTGTTAAAAGGAGTTAAAGTGGATTTTCCATTTAAACGCGCTTTAATCTTTTCCAATATTGGAACTCTCTAAATCTGAATCAGTGAATAGTAGTGTTGAATCAGTGACTATATTCACTGATTCAGATTTAGAGAGAACATTTTTTTTTTTAGTATCACGATAATATTTTGTTAAGAGAGAATTTTTTACTAGATGATTTACGTGCATTTGGAAAGACGATTTAGAAGTCAGTGTTGAATTTGAGAAATTTACATTGCAGATGATTAGTAAACGATAATCTATCTCGTAAAAGACAAAAAAGATTCATATTAATATTCAACTTAATGCCGTAATATTTAGCAATTTGAAAATAATGAGAACTAATCTAATTAGTTTAATAACAGAATATTCTATTATACATATAACCCACTCATTAGATAATGAAATGGTTATAACATATTCAGAGTTTTATTTAATTAATATAAGACGGAAAATAAAACTTAAAGTTTCTTTCTTCTTTGACTTCCCTTTTCGAAAAGACTCCGTATTTTTCCATTCGTATCCCGGATTGAGGTTCAAGAAGTTTAGAGAGTGGATGGGTGAAAGGAAGGTGATAAATTCCGCGGGTGCCAACAGGCGAGTGGAACTGCAAAGAGGAACGCCAGGAGCTTGAAAAGTTTTGAAGTGTCGATCATGCGAACGTAAATTCTGTTCCCGTAATATTCTACTTCTTTGTCGCATTTATAATACATTTTGCATGCCTTTTTTTCATAGTCGCAAAGAATATTAAATCTCTAGTATGGAAAAATTTCTAACGTAAAAAATACGCAAAGTACATCTAGAAAAATCAGTTTAAAGTTTTTATTTGTACCAGAAAATATTATGTTTCATTTATTGAATGTTAATCATGCTCACGATATTTGAATGGCAATAGCTTTATTTAAGGTAATACCAATTCAATGGCGGAATAAAAGGAACATTCAAAAATAAAGACCATAGAGAAACTCTTACAAAGTCTCACCACGTGCAAGTACGCGGTTTTCTTCTGTCTGGCCTTTAGAATTTTCAAATTCTTTAGATCGCGTCAAAGGGGGGTCGGTACGTCGATACGTACCACTTAAAAGGATACACGCCGCGGATGTTGGTGCGAACCAAAAGAACGGGAAAACGTGCTCCGCGCGTTTGAGATCCCTAGCACGTGCGATTTTTGAATGCACGTGCGAGTTCTCTCCGCAGACATTGTACGGTCACGCGTGTTGCAAAGCAGCCATGTGAAATTCAAACTGGATTCCGTATACTATAGTAAATATATCTGCCTTTTCCTCGGTCGTGTCGGACGAATGGCGATTTCTTCTCCTTGCCAGACTGTCTTTTTACGTAGCCGTCGTATATCGAACGTGCCAGAATTGGCGAACAAGTGGATACATAGCGCAATTTCTCATGAAATGTACGGTCGACCATTATCGGTGAAAATATCAAGACGTTCATGATTTCTGAAATTGTGTTCCAACAATTAAACACGAAAATATGCAACGAGATATTGTACTCATTGTTTAGTTTAACAAATTTTTATTTTAAAGCTTGAAAAGAAACTAAATATTATAAAATATCTAATTATTAAATAATAAATATATATAATAATTATTAAAATGTAATACAGAATAATTTTCGACTTTTGTATTTATTAAGAAATGACGAATATCTTGCCATAAAGAAAGAAAGAACGACGTCGTCATTCAGTAATCTTGTCACGTACACGAATTCATCAGACAGAGATTTGGGAGTTAGAAATAGATATATATGATTCTGCAAATATGCGACAGAAAGCAAAGAAATATATATTGTAACTTGTGAGAAATACATAGAAACTGTCTCGCTTACACAAATAAATTTTGTCTGTTCTGTTTAATATATTTTATGAAAATCTTAAATTCATATAAAATTAATGAAAGTCTCAAGAACATATGATATTATCTTTTATGTATCATTATAAAGACTCTCTAATTATCACTATTCATTAACCTTCTCAATTTTTAGTATTAAAAATCAAGCTAATTAAACTTTGAATTAAATTTTTATGTGAAAAGTTACGACAAAAATAAAAATTTATACTTTCAGTATTATTCAGTATTATTTATCTACTTTCAGTATTATTCTCCAGACTTTATTAAAACTTCTTAACATGCAATAACTAAGTAATTCCTTAATACATTCCTTATATTACATTATATACTAGCCCGTTCTTCTTACTTCGCCTCGTGATATTTATGGCCTATGGCAAGCGTGAAACTTTGGGCTAGTTTATATACTAATTTGTATCCTAGAACAGGAGTTATTTCATGTTGCGTATAACTTATCCCAAAAGTTATCGTAGTTTTATCACATTATATCGAAAAGCAAGAATTCACGGTAACTTCCGTTCCGACACGTGCTGAGAAACAATCTTCTATATTACCGCAAGAAAGTTGGAAAAAGAACTTTTTCTAACTTATTATATTATATTATAGAAATACAGAGAGAGAATATAATATAATATAATTATACGAATTATATATTACATATATGTATATACTGTATGCATGTATATTTAATTTATATATATAATATCATATAATATTATATAGATTATATGTATGCACACTTATTCTTACTTTTCTATAGAGTATAGTTCATATAAAAAGAATGTTGAAGAGATTAAAGAGTGCATCTCTCGGACGTCAATAACATATATATAAATGTTAATGTGTCGCGTATCGATCTCTTCAATTCTAAAACGAAAAAGTTATTTCTTGTGCCAAAAGTGGTAATATGATACATTTCGATTTTTATCACAAATATATCGCATGATATATTACCTACACAAATTTCTGACTACACAAGTATAAGCACTCACAAAGAAATCAATTTTGCTTAATATTTAAGAGAAAATGGACTTGCTTGATCCACACAATGGAGCTCTTTCGCTAAATTGAAATATCCTAGATACTCTATTGTGTCTGGCGTATTATCGATGCAATAATGGCCGCCTAATCCTTTGTGAAAGAAAGCGTGGAAACACTGTGGCGTGAGGTAGATAGGCTGCAAAGTATAAAATTCGTAATTACTCTTAAAGTTTAAGTACTAAGCTATTGATGCTACTGCTAACACTAAAGTTTTATTGAACTCCAGTACATCTTATTTTATACGACTTTGTCGTAAAAAGTTCAATTTAAAAGACGTGAATAGACATGTTAATAGACATGTTAATTGCAATATAAAGAGAGAAACTGAACCTGCTGTTTAATAATAATCGATCTGATAAAAAGTATATACATGCAGTAATGGTTCCTCGTATCTCTCACGTTTATATACATGTGATTTACGTATAAATAACTTACATATGTGATAATGTCTTTTGAAAATATGTGTTCTTGTTGACGAGTGTCCCAACGGCTGTCATGAGCGTTTGCATATTATAATGGCGAAACCAATTGCAGATTGCGGTCTTTGATTTTAACGGAATTTGTGGAAAATCTTGCGGTATGATAGACTAAAGCGGATTTCCGTTTTGCGCCACGAGTATACCACCCAAACCTACAAGATGAAATGCAGAAAATGTCACAGTCTATTCGACAAGATTTTACAATTATTATTTCTTGTTTTTTATTTTCTCTTAAACGCTATTTTTAACTAATTATGTTCGAGCAGATACTGGCTTTCTTAGCAACGGTATCTTTAAAATGATCTGCATTGATTCCGTGAAACTTAACGGGCCAATCCGTTTCTTGGCGTAAACTTTTAGGACGTTTCCCTGTTTACCGTTGCTGATAAAGAAATTGCCCTTCATGGAACATCCGTGGTTAATATGGTTGATGGTTTGCAGCCTACATTGTCCGGTGTTTTTATCTACGAAAGCGACACAACTTGCGTTTTTGTTGCCTTCCATTGTTGTTACGCCACATAACGCAAATATTGAGTTCATAATCAGTTGTGATCGCGTTAATGAGAAGTAGAAATAAGTGAGATTGGAGCGTAAATTAGGGACAGCAGTGGAACTGACACCAACAAGTCGATAAAACTGAGACGAAGCTAAGACAGTAATAAATAAGTAAAGTATCGTTATCTATGTAATTACTTTACATACTTTTCAGAGTTCTAGATAGTACTACACAGATTTTATGTAATGTTTTGATTCAAAACTTTTTTATAAAACGTGAGTCTTATTACTTTTCGTACTTACACATACACATACTTTTCAGAATTCTAGATATATAGTGCTACACAAATTCTTATATTGTTATATAGAAAAATAATAGAATTTAAAAATCGCTTCTGCTTAAAATAACTAAATTATAATGTATCTTTGTTTCCAGGAAAAAAGTGCCAGGATTTTATATCTTCAAATCCTTATTTTTAGCATTTAATAGCTAGAACATTTATCGACTATTAAGAACTATAAACTTTTAACAATTATATTTAAAAAATATCAAATGCAAAACTTATATTATGAATAAAAAAACTTATATTATAAAATATTATAATCTGATACACTATCTTTGACGCAAATTCAGAAAAACATACATGGAAAGAACAGTTTTGCTAAATGTAAAAATTGGGCTTTTAATCTGAGAATAATAATAGAGAACATCAAAATAATTATGTAGGACATTCAAACATGATAATGCTGCAAAAAGGTTAGTCATTTTTGCAACCAGGTTGAATGTATATAATTAAAATTATTTATACTGTGGAACATAATTATTTTCAGATTTCTATATCAGCTAAATCTTTAATTACTTTATCAAGACAATTCTCTATATAACAAACTTTTGTTCACATAAAAAACTAGTTTTAAAATAAAAAGATAATTATGGCCATCAATCTGACATATAAATTTTGTTCGCTAAATTAAAGTATCCTTCATACTCGATCGTGTCCCTCGTGATATTGTTAACAAACTGCCCGCCTGCTCCGTAATTGGAAAAACTATGGAACTGATGATGCCTCCTCGGCAGAGGCTGAAAAGCATAATATAAATATTTCATAAAGTTTAAGCTTTGAAATTTAGACCGTAATCATCACAGTCATAATTAACGCTTAAACTGGAAAAGTTGAGATTTATTAATTTAACTTACTTAAATTTAATAATTACAAGTGCTCATTTTAACATAAGCGGATAGATAGAATTACACGAGTTAATGAATAAGAAATTAAGATTTATAATTATGGTAGTTTTTCTGGTGACACAAGACAGTAATTTGAAGAAAAATAATCTCTGTTATCCACTTGCACTACCATAGTATAAATTACTTACAGAATTGTAGCGCTGTTCATAGTGCAAAATATCCGGTTCGGTGTTAATAATTGTACCAACAGCTATCAGATCCTGTTCGAGCTCTATGTCGTGACAATCAAACCATTTAGCGAGAATGCGAAATGATGACTTGTTCTGGAAATAACATTTCGGCATAACATTTAGCGCCACTCGTCCATTCCTCATTCTCAGAACGCCACCTAAGGCTGCAGGACCAGACATAGAAAAGATAATACAAACATCTTTTTATCTACTTTTAAAATTATATAATTAACTAGATTAAAAGGTTTATTACCAACAGGATAATCACGGTAATGTCTGTAAAGTATGTCTTGCATTATTGTTATAATATCCAAATCGGTTTGGCGACCCTTGGCGCGCACTTTAAGAACATTGCCCTCCCTGCCTTCGCTGAGAAAAAAATTGCCCATAAAGGAGCACGTCATTGTCTTGGGTTGAGTTAACATTACTATCCTGCTCTGTCCTTTGTCTGCGAAAACGATGCGACTCGCATTCGTGATATTAGGTGCTTTATACGCCGCGTTCATAATGAGCTACAACAGTAATCGAGCTTGTGAAAAATAAACATAAAAAGATCAGATTGAAGCAACTAACAAATCATAATAACATACTATCATAGAATTAAAACATCAGTAGAAAACGATAACAATAAATCAATTAATATAATACGCAGTTTATCGCACAATTTATGGATCTCTATTTATTCTACTAGTACAATAAAATTATAATAATATTATCATACTTTTGCGCATGAAAGTATTTATAATACATACGTGTCCGTTGTAAGGCAAGTATGGATACGCAGCGTAACCAGATCCGATAATGAAAGAATCATAGCCAGTTGATAATAACATATCCTCAATATTCCATTTTGCGCTATCATAAAGCGGGTTCGGAATAAGGTTCGTATAATCACCGACTTGTATTATTGAAGGATTGCCGTTTAAACCTGTAATTATAGAATTTTATGGAAATTTGTTTTCTTACAATTAGTAAAATACTACTTAGCTTCCTTCAATTTCTTACCTATTCCGGCAAGATTAAATGGTTCTTCGGTTAGACAAGGGCAGGTAGCTATGTCAACCGTCAACTCTCGAAACACGGATTCCATTCCATCTTGCAGAACTATTGTTAGTGACAGCAATATCAAATATTATACATGTAAATTAAATTATAAAGTTATATACGTTACGTACTTGTTGCAACCTCCGGAAGTGTAGGAAACTGCGAGTTTATCGTGTTTAACGAAAAATTTGCAATCCAGGCATCGCCGTTTTCTGCCGCCATGATGTTTACTTTGAATTTAAGCGCAATACTATAAAATAATGGAAAATACATATAAGAATTGATAACTTATCAAGTTAAAAGAGAATTTTAAAGGAAGTATCTAGATCATAAAATAAAATCTAAATCATATTAATGTTATTTCGAATAATAAGATGCGAAAAGAGTGATAGCTGTTACTATTAGAGATAATGCAGTAAACTAATTTTTATGTGACTTACATATAAATTAGTTTTCCAAAAAAGTAACAAAGCTTTAATGATAAAGCAATGTATTGTCACTTTTCTCTTATTAATTTTTAAGGCAATTTCTCTATGTGATTTGTCACACACGTAATTTTTTACTGGAATTATTAGGCAGCCATAATATAAAAAATATAATATACGCGCAGTGCATATTTTGATGATAGTACAAACAATATGTATCACTTAATTTTCGTAATATTGTAGACGCTATTTTGTTAGCGTATATTAATATTGATAGTGAGAGATATATTAATAAAATAAGAGCAAAACATGTATTAAAATATTACTAATTACATATAATATGTTTTGTCTCCTCCTCCTCCTCCTCCTCCTCCTCTCTCTCCCTCTGTATGTGTGTGTGTGTGTGTGTGTGTGTGTGTGTGTGTGTGTGTGTGTGTGCACAGTCGCCACAGTCTAGATTATATACTGACAAGATATATGTTGCAAAAGTTTTGTATAATTGCAGAATATTAAATTTCTAACTAATTCACTATCACAGGCACGTCTATCCTTTCGTAGTCTGAATATGAAATGAAATAAGTCATATTTTCAAAGACGTTTCTCTCAGACAGAAAACAACAGCATAAACTGACTCTTACTACAGATTATAGCAGTCATGAGTACTCAGTGGCAATAAATAAATATAACTTTGTAAGATCGTTAAACTTTGAAATTTAAATACGAAGGGAAAGTACGGTAGATAAAATAGTACGATTTCTGCCTAAGAAGTGTAAGTTAAATATGTAATCTTATGTTCTAAGTCTTTAAGTCGCTGAATACGATGGTAACATTTTTATCCGTCTAAATCCGTGAGAAAGTGGTCAAATTTCGCCTTAAAAAGGTAGAAGCTGTTTCGATTGTACATTAATATTGAAAGTAATATTAGTGAACCAAAAATAAAACATACATTTAAATGTTAATTAAATATTACTAAATCTAATATGTATATGTGTATGTGTAAAGCATACGTTTGTACACTCACTCAATGTATGTCGTGAAAATTTGTATGCTCGTAAACTGTATAATTTCTTAGTTTCACCATCACAAGCACATCCATTGTTTCATAGTCTACAGGAATATGAGAAATGGTAGGAGGCACTTTGTCGAAAGTGCTCTCTCTTCGTAAATAGAAAGCAACGGCGTAAACAATAAAAGATCATAGCGGTCATGGATTAGTCAATTAGTGGTAATAAATAAATATATTTTCATAAAGACGTTAATAGTTTAGAAATTTTAAAGTCAACGAAAGTTTAGTACGGATATATAATAATATATCTTTAATATAAAAATTTATTTACATATAAGCCATATTTTTAAAACTTTTGCTGCTTGTGAGAATAATGTGATAGAATAATTTTTCAAAAAAATGTTTTTCTATCAGTCTAAAATTGTCCTTTATTTAATTTATTTTCAATGCATAATGCCGTAAAGTTGAAGATAGTTGGGACACTTACACCATATATAAACTCGCAACAACTTATATTAACGCAGATAATATATTGTGTGTGATGTAATAAGAGACTAGTTGCTTCAAATGCGTTCGAGTTTTATTTTAGCGCAATATATATTGTTGCTTAAAAATATAATTTTATACATTAGAAAATACAATTGTTAGAGTTATATTTATTACATAAAATTATGTAATAAACATAATAAACGTACATTAAATATATATTAAAAGTTTTAATTAGATATTTAAGAAGTTGATAATAAGAATAAAAAGATAAACACTTTTGAAAATAATAATAGAAACTTAATGATACGTAAAATTCAAGAGGGAGAGAGAGAGAGAGGGAGAGAGAAAAAGAGAGAGAGAGATTCTACATAACATCATTTTAATAATATTTAATGTTGTATTTTATTTCTTTGGTATTATATATTATTAATGATATCCTAGCTCTTTCTCTCTCTCTCTTCTTCTTCTTTTTCTTCTTCTTCTTCTCTCCTGTTTCGTTTGATAAAAACGTAAACTTGGTATCCTGTATATTTTCAAGTCTTGATTTTTTGCATTTAATTATCAACTTAATTACATTTTTCTTAAAACGTATCAGAAATTCTGGAATTCTATTAATTATATCAAAAGTTATCAAAAATATCAAAAATTAGATCAAATTTATCAAAAATTATATCAAAATGCATCGAGAAGTTTACAAACATTATAATCCGATTAGATATATCTTCGTCGTAATAATACGCTAAACAATACTACACAAACAACAATAAACTAAACAAGAATATAAGTAACTAGATTTATACGAGGAATAGAGAGAGGCATTCATGCGCAATAATTTACAGAATAGATTTTTGTTGCTAAATTGAAGTATCCTTCATATTCTGTGTCGTCCTTCGTGATATCGCTAATGAATTGTCCACCTGCTCCATAATTGGAGAAACTATAGAACTGATGACGTCTGGTTGGAAGATACTGCAAAAAATAAAGAAGATAAATACTTCATGATATTTAAGCTTTGAGACTTACAATTATACACCACTGCTGTAATTAACATTTAAATGTGTGAAGAAAGTTATATTATTTTAATTTACTTTAATTTAATAATCGCAAGTGCAAACTTTGATAGAAACAAACGGACGTGAATAATTATATGTAATAAATAAAGAATTCAAATTTATAATGGTATTTCTCTACTGATAGAGGGTATAAAATAATAACTTGAAGATTATGAAGATTTCTGATATTTGTACGACTAGTACAAATAACTTACAAAACCATAACGTTGTTCCGTGACTAAAAGTTCTGTTGGTGTGTTATTAAGTAATGTGCCAACAGCTATCAGATCTGATTCGAGCTTTATATCGTGACACTGAAACCACCTAACGAGGTCGCCAAATGATGAAACCAATCGCGGATATTCTTCCGGCATAACATTTTGCGCTACTTGTCCATTCCTCATCCTAAGAACACCACCTAAGGCTGCGAGGCCAAATATAAAAGATAATCAAATTACTTTTTTATCTATTTTTTAGCTGGATACATTAGACTAGATTAGAGTTGCTTATTACCTACAATACGATTCTTATTTACATAAAACTCTCTATAAAGAATGTTATGTATCATCGTTATAATATCTGTATTGGATTCGCGACCCTTGGCGCGTATTCTGAGAACATTGCCCTCTCTGCCCTCGCTAAGAAAAAAATTGCCCACGAAGGAACACATCATTTGGTCAGGTATAGTTAACGTTTCTATCCTTCTCTGTCCATTACTTGTTTCTGCGAAAACGATGCGACTCGCATTCATGATATTAGGTGCTCTATATATCGCATTCATAATGAGCTATAACAGCAGGGTTTAAAAAAAAAAAAGATAAAGATAGAATAGGAACAAGTTTACTGTAAAAACATTACAAAACTGTAAAAAGCTCAGTAGAATAAATTAAATAGTAATAAATTAATAGAATTAAAATAATGATAAGATAACAATAAATCAATTAATATAATATGCAATTTCTATAGCACAATTTACTATATCTAGCTAGCTTGCTATTATGATGGTATCATATCATTATAATATTACCATCCTCTCTCTTACGCAACAAAAGTATCGGTAATACATACATGTCCGTTGTAAGGCATGTACGGCTTTGCAGCGTAACCTGTTCCAATGATAAAGGAATCGTAGGCAAAACTCGATACTATGTTTTTAATATTCCACCTTGCATTGTTATTATGTGGAAATGGCATAAAGGCCGTGTAACCACCGACTTCTATTAATGATGGGTTGCCGCATAATCCTGTAGATTTTTAAGAACATTCATCTTTTAAATAAAATATTATGAATTTTTCCTTAGATGTCTTACCTATTCCGGCAAGATTGAATGGTTCTCTGGTTAGACAAGGGCAGGCAGCTATGTCAACCGTCAACTCCCGGAACATAAATTTCATTTCATCTTGCAGAGCTATTTTTACATAGTGACAGAGACATCAAATATTACACGTCTGAATTAATTTATGAACACTATATACATACTTCTTCCGATTTCCGAGAGAGTAGATGGTCTCAATTGTATTGGGCGTAAAGGACGATTTATAGTAGAAGCATGGCCGTTTTCAGATAAATTCTCCATCCTCAATTTGAATTTAAATACAAGACTATTAACTAGAAATTTGAATTTATGCAAATCTATTAATTCAATTTGAATTTAACGCAGGTCTATTAACATAAAGACCATACGTAACAATCACGAAACTGTTACGTTATAAAAGTATATTTAGAGGGATCTAAAAAAAAAGAGAGATAATATTAATGATGATACTTAAAGTAATATAATATCAGATAAGCCATAGCTTATGTAATATGTGTGATGGGTTTAATTGTAATAAGCTATTAAAAATAATGCACCTAAAAACTACTGTGTGAATTGTAGTGTACTCGGATTATTTTTCGAACAAAATCTATAAAAGTCAAAATTCATCAATGTTAAATAGCATGTTGATTAAGCAACAAACTCTTTTGGTGAAAGAACATTTTATGTAAATTTTGGAGAGAACAAATCTTATTAATCTTTTTTTCTTTTCTTTACAATAATCTCTTTACGCGATTTATTATATATAATTTCTTATTCAAATTTTCATGCAACTATAATACGAAAATATAAAATACGCGCAGTGCGTATTTTAATCATAGTACGTATGTGATTTATGATATAATTTTTATAATACTTTAAAAACTACCTCGAATACGTTGACGATTAATTAAATAAACGCAAAGCATGTAGGTATTTAAACGTGTATTAAAATGTAATATGCCTTAGGTATGTAATGCTTAGCTAGCTTACAAAATATATACAAAATATATACTTACAAAATATGTGTTGCAAAAGTATTATATAACTGCAGGCTGTTTAATAAGTTCACCATCGTAGGCACGTCCGTTCTTTAGTGTATGAATATGAGAAATAATATGATGAGACCTTTTGTGTCAAAAGCGTTGTGTTCTCGTAAACAAAGAGCGATATAGACAATACAAGATCATAACGGTCATGAGTCAGTAATATAGATAAATATAATTTCGTAAATTCGTTAACAACTTTGAAATTTACAAGCCAACAGAAATTTAATATAAATGTGCAATAATTTATCTATGTAATATAAAAAAAATGATTTGTAAAAGTCAAAATTATAAAAAAATTTTTTGGCTGTTCGTATGTTCAAAATCCAACGCAATATTATTAGAATAATTTTACGAAATTTAAAATGTGTTAGTATCAGTCCAAAAAATTGTTGTTTATTTTATTTAATTTCAACACGTGATATTGTAAACTAGGGTTATAATTAAGGCTCTGGCGGGATATAAATATTCCCAACAAATCATATTATCGCAAATAATAAATTGCGTAATACAATAAAAAAATAATAACTAGATTCTTAATAAATATATATCTCCTTCAAATGTAGGATTATTTTATTATAATTCAATATTAATGCTTAAAATATAAAATAATAATTATTAATAAATTAATAATCAAGTAATTAATAAAAATGAGGAATATATATATTATGTGGAGTAAAATATAAATCTTTTTCATTTTTCTTCTTTATTAAAATAAGAAAACAAGCTTTTATTGAGTTCAGTGAGATATGTTAAAATATTAAATACGACAGCTCTTACAATAATATTTGACATTGGCTGCATTACTTTTCAATTTCAGCTTTTCAATAACAAACAATCTTTAAGAGTTTGTCATATTAACCAAAACTTTGTCATATCAATATTAAATGCAATGCGTAATTATCTTGTGTATAATTTATTCTGGTAATATTTAAAAAAATCGAGCATTTAATATAGCGTCTAGAGTTCATGCTTATTCCTTCTCGGAAAATCGTTACAAAATAATATTGCACTCGTAAAGCAACCTCGTTTTATTATAAAGTCATCTAATTCTTTGAGGGAGCACGGTCGCTACAATATTAAATAAAAAAAGCCAAGGTAAAATTTACTAAAGCTAATGGAGCTACATGCTCCGTTATCATAATCCATCTTTTTATTACTACAGAAATGAGCGCCTAAATAATTAGTTGAGCAAACAGGCGTCTTTGTGCGTGAATAAAGTTCTCTAAAAATCTCGATCGTTCAAGCAAATAGTCAGAATTTATTATTAATGTGTGTCGATGGATACTTGGATCAATATATGTTCCTCCAGACCTTCGTTTTCTCTCATCGTATTTGCTTCGGGGTGCTTTCGTGCGGGCGGTTTTCTTTGAAAGCTCGCCTCGAGGAACCGCTGCCTCATCATACGTGATACGCCGAAAAAACTTGTGGCGCGATCCTATAGGGAAATTAGATGAGGCCTTTCTTTGTAATGAATGTGACGGACGCGAAAGAATGTGATAATGGATGTTAATACGCTGTAACGAACGTAAGTCGTGCAGAATCACGTTCCAGCCAGTGGCAAATAAGTGTCAAAGTGCGGGAGGGATGTTTATTTGTATACATCAGGAAAGGAGGGTCTTTACGTGTGCATCCGCTCTTTCACTATATCAAGTAGGAAAAAGGGAATCGCACCACAAAGCAATCTCTTCCTTGTCGTTTCTCTCTTCTCATTTCTCCTTTGAGCGTATATGCTTCAGGATTTCCGCACAATAATATCTTTACTCGAGTTTGATCGCGAACGGTGTTAATCAATGCCATTGCCTCTCGCGCGCATAAATTCCCCGTAATTTTACAAATCGACACCTCAATTCTCTCCTCACAGAGTGGAAAAAGATCTCTCGTTTCTTCTTTCATTTAGCATTAAGTGGGATTACTAATTGTAAGACAATTTCGTCGTTTCGTATATACGTAAGATAGCGCGATGTCTCGTATACATATATATGTATGTGGGGAAAATGAGTAAGTTTTATGTTAAAACATTTAAAATCTTCTAAATTCTTCTTTAAAGTCATTTATAAAATTCTTTTTTTACATATTTGATTACAATTACAGATTATAAGAAACTTACTTAGATACATACTAGTACTTATTATTGTAAACTGTGCAAAAATTCCGTACGTATCTATAAGTTCAGCGCGACTCAATTCGCTAAAAGTAAACCCCGACGTCGAGTGTTCATGTTTTTAAATTTTCAGACTGTCTCTGCGCTATCATTCACGCTGTTCTACGTCGACCTAAACGTGACCTAAACAAACGCGATGTCATAAAGTGGGCACCCGTGAGAAACAGGTACCGCTTATTGCGCTTTTCAAAAAAGAAACGAAAAAAAAATTGCGCGGTTTTTGCATTATTATAGTTCGTCTGCGCGCGACGCATTGCACGTCACGGAGCTCCCCGTGCCGCGAGTTATGAAATATCGCGAAACGTCAGGGTGGCAGAGGGTTGGGTGAGAAGGGAATTGTAGGTCAGCGGCGACGGCTGACTACTACTACACGGCCGAGTCCGCACGCGCGGCAGTAAAAGGGAGAGAAAATCTACCTCGAAATTTTGGCCGAGCGAATACGGACTTTACGGTCGACATGTCGCGAAGAGAGATGTCCCCATTCTTTTTGCCAGCCTTATGAATTATTATCTCGTCGCGACGCGCTGAACGAGGCGCGCTTTCGCGACCGCACGATCCTTTTCACGCTCCTCCGCCATCGATGGACCGGAAATTGGAGGAATCTGGAGATGCCGGGATGGAAATTAAAACTCGCGCGCCGACACGACGGCAAGCACCTTCGGCTCTAGAGTTTCGATCGATCGTGTCTCTCCCACCTCCCTCCCTTCTCTCTCACCTTTTCTCTCTCTCTCTCTCTCTCTCTCTCTTTCTCTCTCTCTCTCTCTCTCTCTCTTCTTTTTCTTCTTCTTCTTCTCTTTCTCTGAGAGAGAGAAAGAGAGAGAGA